ATGTTTGGCGTCAAACTGGCTACAATCAAGCGGTAACCTCTAGTCATAACATTAAAGAAAGAATCGTTTCTTACATCATGAAGATTCCTGCCTCAGTCTACTGGACCTGTTTTAATCTATTGTCTTATCTTTAACGTGGACTGTTTGTCTTTTTTTTTTTCTATATATAATCCTACCAAATTCTCTTTTTACTTGTCTTGATGTCGCTAGTGTCTCCTCCATGTGCCTTTTTAGCTTTGTACAAGACACACCAGTACACCTTATAATACATATCTATGCATGCACAAAAGGGTTGTTTTAAATGCATTTCTGTAGATTGGTGTATGAATGTGGAGGTGTATTTGTATCTCAGGGTGAAAGAAAAAATATTTCATTGGGCTGTCAAAAGTTCATAATTCAATTATGCAGGTCACAGGATAATAACAGATTTACTTGTTAATGCAATGTTAGATGTTCAGACATGTTGGTGACCTAAAATACCATCTCTCACATTTTGTAAATGGGTACACATAATTTCCAACCTCAAGTATTTTGTGTGTTGATTTGTTTTGTAAGGAGACGGGTGTATATGTAGCTCATGAAGGTAACTACTGTTCTGTGTGAGTGTTTTTCGTTGTTAATAAATATTCAGTTTGAGCTGTAGTATAGTGAGCATTAAAAGGGAGCTAGCGATGACACTTTAAAACGTAATGGTTAGAAGAAAAACAAAATGTCATAATACCATGTGCAGTTTTGTGCCAAGTTGTTTCTGTCACCTAGATGTCCTGCACTTTTATTTCTTTATAATTGCTATAAAAGTTGTTTGTCTGCTTTATTTTATACAGTATTGTAAAAAGCCATTAGTTACTTTACTTAAAAAGTGAGTAAACCCATTGTCTTAAATGCGAAACAATTACTTAAAGTGAGTAAACCTGTTGTAACTTGGAACTGTTCAGCTTACCTAATCTATTTTTTTTTTATAATTATGCACATAGTTCATTTATTTAATCATTTTAATGCAATGGCTTTTCTCTCTTTAAATCAACTAATCACTTTTTACAGTGTGCAAACTGTTGATGTGTACCATGCATATTGCAAGAATATTTTCCGTAAATGTAAAATGTATTTAATGTGTATTTATTGATCTTTGTACTTGTCTCCGAGAGGGAATCCTAATCATTTTTATTTTTGTAAACACAATAAACTATTCAAATCTTATGCATCTTTTCATTATGTCCAAATTTGAGCAGCATAGAGAAAGATTATTATTGCTTGTAAAATAGATTGCGGCATTTCTGTTCTTTTCTATTACATTCATCAAAGATTAATTCAACATGTACTCCCTAAAGCACAGGTGTCAAACTCCGTTCCAAAAGGGCCGCAGCTCTGCACAGTTTAGTTCCAACCCTAATTAAACACACCTGATCAAACTAATTGAGTCCTTCAGGCTTGTATGAAACCTACAGGTAGGTGTGTTGGAGCAGGGTTGGAACTAAACTGTGCAGGGCTTCGGCCCTCCAGGAATTGAGTTTGACACCCCTGCCCTAAAGGGATGCAATTAATTTTTTTATTTATTTTTATGGCTAAAGTACTGGAATTCAAGGGTTGCATATTTTTAGTATGGCATACATGCCACATTAATCACAGTTTGTAAAATCTGTTTTTACATTTATCAGTTAAGCAATTCTTACACACTCCTATCAACCCCATTTCAGACAGTTACAATGACAGCTAGTTTATTTTATTGTAGATTTTAAGAATGTTCAAACATTCATTTTATATTTGCAGTTGACAATAAGGAGTATTGTGTAGCTGCATTTGTTGATCTGGCAAAAGCTTTTGACTCTGTGGACCATGAAATTCTACTGGATAGGCTAAGATATATTACTATCTGAGAGCTGTCTGGTCTGGTTCAAGAACTACTGTTCTGGTCGTCTACAATCAGTAAGGGTGCAGGAGCTTCTGTCGGATCCCCTGCTGCTTCCCACAAGGTAGAATATTGGGGCCTACACTTATTAACATTTATGTTAATGATATTGCTCCTGCTGCAGGTGATTCTTACATTCGTCTATACGCTGATGATAATATCATTTATACAGCTAGTTCTTATTTGACTACAGCACTTTCTTCACTGCAAGCATCCAACCTGCTTTTACCAATCTCCATTTAGTTTTAAATACTAATAAAACAAAATGCATGTTTTTTAATAGAAATTTACCACATGTTGAGTTTCCTCCTAAAATGTCCTCATTGGACGGTACTGAGATTGATTTTGTTGACTGCTACAAATATCTTGGTATCTGGTTAGATGGGAAACTGACATTTAAAACTCACATAAATTAATTGCTCAAAAAGGTCAAAGCCTGTATTGGTTTTCTTTACAGAAACAAATCTTCCTCTACCCACTCTTCAAAGCAGCATTTGTTCATCAAATTGAGAGTATAACCAATTCTGGATTATGGGGATTTAATTTACAGATCAGCTTCAAAAATCTCCTTCATAAACTGGATGTTATTTATCATGCAGCAATTTGTTTTGTTACTGCTGCACCATTTCATACTCATCACTGTCTTCTGTGTTCTTTACTCAATTGGCCTTCTCTTCAATTACATCGACACATTCATTGGTTTCTGTTCATTTACAAACTCTCATTGGGAAAACTCCATTATATTTACAATCTCTTCTTAACTTTCAGGAAACACGTCGAAATCTACGCTCTAGGAATGTTAATAACCTTTGCATACCCAAAGTTCACACTTCATTTGGAATCATCTGCAGCAGACCCTAAAGCTCAGCACTTTCATTCCACTATCATCTTTTAAAAGTTCAATCCAGTCAATACTACAATATCACTGTGCTTGTTTTTAGTTTTTGTCAGTTTTATATGTTATTATCTGCATTTGTGAAATTGTTATTGTTTTGTATCCTTGCTGCTTTGTAATGTATTTGCTTTTTATGCTGCCTCTTGACCAGGCCGTCATTGTAAACAAGAACTAGTTCTCAATTGACTTACCTGGATACATAAAGATTGTTATTTTTATTATAATTATTATTATTCAGTTTTGCCACTGCTGTTTGAATACTCTTTACATGTACATCTGTATCTAAAACTCATTATAATTCATAAAGCCTTAAAGTAGATGATCTGACCTTATTCCAGTTCCACCCAGAAGCTATGACTAACACTTCCCAATCGTTTCTGTCAGCCTATTAACAAGTTTTATATCAAAGAAAGAAGTGCGTCTCAATTTATAAACAATTAAATTTTTATTTAATAATTTTTACATTTTCTATTTTTTTATTATTTGTTAAAATATTTCCCAAGTGTTGTTTAATAGATTGTTTTCAATACATATTTAAACATAAAAGTTTTAATTAATTTTTAATAACTCATTTATTTTGTTCCTGCCATGGTGACTGTATAGTTCACTAGTTTTTTTTTTCAGGATACTAGTATTCAGAATGAAGTGCAATTTAAATAATGATCACTCTGTTGATTCGGCAAGTTAGAATAATTAGGCAAGCTATTGAATGGCAGTGGTTAAAAAATATCTATATTTTTAAAGGGGGCTAATAATATTGATCCTAAAATAATTTTTAAAAACTTTAAAAAATACTTTTATTCCAGCCAAACTAAAAGAAATAAGGCTTTCTCTAAAGGAAAAAATATATATATATATATAGGAAATACAGTGAACATTTCCTCGGTCTGTTAAACATCACTTCGAAAATATGTAAAATAATAAAAGAATATAAACTGAACAGAAGAGCTTATCAGTTTGACTTTAACTGTATGTAATAGATCAAATCAAATGAACGCTTAATAATATGAGCTTTGTCAGGTGCATGTGGAATAAATATTAAATTATTATGTACACAATATTAGTTATTAATGGTTTTTTTTAAACAATTCATTTAGCACCTCTACAAGGATTAGCAGCAATTACACTGGCTCTCAGCAACAGCAAATCACTTGATTGTATACCTTGTTCCATGTGTTGTGCATAGACAAAAGACTTGAAAGAGTTGTGGTTTTTCTGAAACGGAAAACAACAATAACAAATTAAAAATAACAAATTTAATTATTTTATTTGTATCTGGAGTGAACAACTACTGCAACATCTGCCACCTATAAAAAATGTATTCATAGTAACTGATACATTTTATCAATATCATTTTAAAATAAATTACAATTCTTTAGGGTGGAAATAGTACTTAATTACTTTAGCAGTTTTTGTATTTCTTTATTTTTAAGATTGGACAATAGTTTGTTAAGATTAAAATATTTGAAAATCTGGGAACTCAAAATAAATAAAGGAAATCATCTTCACAGATGTACAATTTACAATTTCAAAATTATTATTTGATTTATTTATGGAAAGAAACTCGCGGAAGATGATCTTTACTTAATATTCTAAAGATTTTTGGCTTAAAAGAATAGTATAACTTTGACTCATACAATGTTTTTATTTATTCATTCATTTATTTGTCCATAGCCAAAAATAAACCTGTGCAATAAAAGGTTTTGTGGTAAGTCACAAAGAAGCTTTAATCATTTTTCAATGTTATTGTAGATTAATTTACATTGAGAAGTGACCAACTAAGTAAATTTTCCTCAACAAATTAAACAGAACTAATTAATTGTTTCATTGGTTAATCATCTAAAATATAAAAGGTTATATAAATGGCTATTTGGGATGGAAAAAGATATTCTAAACACCGTTTACAACTGAGACTGCGAGACAGATGAGCTCAAATTTCAGGTTTAAAGGCCTCGTTAGGTGTGGGTGTAAAAGAGGTGAAGCCCTGGGTGTTCACGTGTTGTGGATTCCAAACGGTCTATGGGTTAACGTGAAAGTGGGTGGAAGTTAATTGAGACAAGTGACTGTGTCGGGGTTCAAACACAAGCATTGTTCAACAGCTGGAGACAGGAGCTACTAATCACTTGTTAGACGAAGGTATGTGCATGCTTGTGTTTCTGCTTAGTTTGTGCTTAATGTTTGCTGGGACCTCCCGTTTACCGGGACAACAAATGACTTTTGAGAATTCTGATTTATTTTTACTGATACAAAGATGCGGCTTGTAAAACTTAAAGGTTGGTTAAACAAAGTTTTGTTCGCGGTTAATGACCCGAGTGAGGAATTCTGACTACATTGTGGTAATTTAGCGCTACATCTTAAACAAGTTTAATCATGTTATGAATCGTAAAGTGTAGATTATTAGTATTATTATTATTAGTAGTATATACAATAATTTGTTTACACTATTTTTTGTAAGGCATGCACTGATTTACTTTATTTTTAATGTCAATACACTAAATAGACACATCAATACAAAACATACTTTAGCTAAGATGAATGTTTCAATATTTTGTGTGTTCAGATTTCTTTTTTTTTCCTCTGTTTAATTTCTTATCATCTTGTGGGATCTTCATTGCTCTGATTAATTTAATCTTTAATATGACCAGTTCTAAGATATTTTGTGTGGCCTTTAAGTGCCACGTGCCACACACTCTTTACAGTAAATCTGTTTAATGTATTGTGTTGTGCTAACACATCACTTTAACAGCCTGTGGCTTACTTGAACAGAGGAGTCAAATAGTGTCTGAATAAACCTACAGTTTAACATTTCACAACAGATTCTAAGCTTTCTCTTGACCACAGAACCTCAGTCTTGGTTCCTTGTGTGAGGCAATGACCTGCCGTGACTTGTCCGTATCTTTAAAGATTCAGCCCATAGGTGAGGTCGCTGATGTTAAAAAGCAAACAGAAGCTGCTCAGTACATTTCCATTACGGCATGTGACGTTAATTAATTGTCATTTAACTTGATTATTTTCATGTTCAGATAACTGTCATAATAATACAAATAACTACAGCAGCATAATAAATACATAGGCTAATAATAATGTTCAACTAAATTCGCTTGTAACAGTATTAAATATTCATAGTGTAAAAACTTTGGCATACTTCCAGCACACTATTATATATATATATATATATATATATATATATATATATATATATATATATATATATATATATATATATATATATTTTTTTTTATAGGTTGTATGCATTAACCCGCATGTTATATAAATAACCCCTCAACTGTCACCTCCAGCATTTGGACATGGTGTGTAGATTTAAGCTTGGTCTCATTTTGAAGAAGACAATTGTCAGATTGTAGCTAAAGTGAAAAAAAGTTAAAAATGTTAAATGTCTTTAAGTGTATGAAAATAAAATATGTATATTTTATTATATTACATGCAATTTGAATCTATAAAAAATGTTTTAGCCCCCAACTGACTGAGCTAAATATCTGAACAAATTAAATTCCAATTTTGAAGCTAATATCTCAAAAAAAAAAAAAAAAAAAAAAAAAAGAAAGAAAGAAAAAGCTTTCAAGAAGATTTTGCATGGGCACTTAACCAAACATCACAACCAGATGACATTCAGTTTTCAGTCACAATGTAAGGGCGCTCCCTATTTTTGTGTGTTTTGAGGAATATGATTTATATTTTTTCACACTTTTGACAATATTTGCAAAGTAGACATCACTCTCTAAAGCAGTATGAACAGTTTGGTGGTATTTATTATTAAAATCTAAAGTAATCTAAAATAGTTTTACATCTTGGTTGCTGTATTAATGCTTTTCAACAAATTTATTAAATATTCATCATTAATATTAATTAAAAATCACCAGATATGGCCTTCAAATGATATATAGTTTCTCATGCTTGTTTTGTTTAGACTGCAATATTATGTTTTAAGAGTCTTAAGACTTTCTGGTAATATTATCTGTTGGCAATTAATTAACCCAGCATTTTAGATTACATGTTTATAAAGTGAATACAAACGTATTTTTATGCATAAAATATTAAAATGTTAAAAAATATGTATTTATTTATTTTTTACAGGACATATGTTAATTCCCATGACCATACTCTGAGTTTTTCAAAGAACATTGCACATGTTTTGAAGTAGATGCGTGTTTTTTTTTTTTTTTTTTTTTTTATAATTTCAGGCATTTTTATGACACTGAATCTTAGATTGAGGATGATTTAATTGAAGGGGGTTCACAGCAGCATGCTTTGTTGTTAAATGAGCTATACCTCTGTAGAGGGTATGTATGTGCGTGCATGTTTGTGTACTGTATAAGTACAGTATATTAACACTGACACCTGCTGGTGCTTTGACTTGTATTTCATCACCACATAGAAGTGAATCAATCACTTTTCATGTCAAATAACAATATAAACTTTCAGCATATGCAACAACTCATATAAAGCAGATTAATTATCAATGTGAGTTTTTCATTTTACTTGAATCAAGCATCTGCTAAATGTAAGTGTACTGAACTGTCACAATGGGCATATGTGGGGAAGGTGTCCAATGTGTCCATTTAAAAATAAAAGCACTATCAACAGAATACATATTGATGTGTTTATAAAAACAAATGTATCAACAAAGGTTTACAGTACACTGCAATTACAATTTTTGTTTTGTTTTTATGCTTTTACAATGTAGGTAAAGTTTGTTTATAAAAAGTTTATTTATAAAAAGTTTGGCTCTGACCAAATTGCGGAACAAAACCATAGCACATATTCTAAAACTGTAAAATAACAATACGTTAAATAAAGATTAAAAGCCAGGGAAGGCAATAGAACAAAATGTGTTTCAAGTCTGAACTTAAAAAGATGAGAGAGAAGAAGCACTCGTAATGTCCGCTGGCAGCAGGTTCCACAAATATGTGGCAAAGGCTCTATCTCCTTTCAGTTTAAGTCGTGCCTGAGAAATTTGTAACATTTTATTCTACGACCTAAGGGGCCAAGGAGTTAAATGTAAGTTTATAAGTTCAGAAATATAAGAAGGTGCTTGCCCATTTAGTGCTTTAAAAACAATAAGTAAAATCTTGAACTGAATTCTAAAATTAAGAGTAAGCCAATGAAGGGATGCTAAAAATTTCAACATGATTTTGGTTCCCGTTAAAAGTCAAGCTGCCACATTTTGAACCAACTGCAACCATGCCAATGAAGATTTAGGGAGACCAATATGTAAGGAATTACAATACTCTAGGCGAAATGTGTTAAAAGCATGTATGGCTTTTTTCAGATCTTGAAAGGAAAGGATGGATTTGAGTCTGGAGATAATCCTCTGCTGATAGTAACTATTCTTAACCACTGAGCTAGTTTGTTTTTCTAGGCAAAGCTCTGAATCAAAGTTAACTCCTAGATTTTCTCCTAGATAGATGTAGATTGTGTCAAAGCAGCTAAACACAGACGTTTCCTGTGTTAGTCCAGTTTTCAGAGTTAAAGTTCAATTTAGTTCAGTTCAGTGTCGTTTAATGTTCCACAAGTCCCAAGCCAGTGGCGAGAAACAAAACCTCACCAATTGACAAAAGTGAAGGAAAACACCTAGAAAGAAACCAGGCTCAGTTGGGAATGATCATTTCTCCTCTGGCCAAACTTCTTGTGCAGAGCTGCAGTCTAGGTTCAGGAGGCTGAAGAGCGCCGGACATTCATCGTGAAGAAGCTGCAGGTGTGAGTAAGGCACTGGCGGGTATTTAGGCTGGCCCATGAGATCAATGCAGAGACTCATTTGTCACTGGGTCTTTCAGGAATCCATCTCATGCTCACCACTCCTCTATGACCACCACAGCATCTGCTCAGAATACAGCCTGGTTCAGGGTTATGGAGACCTCTAGAAGTCCTCTAAGGTTGGCATCATCTCTTCACGGGACTTGGATCATATCTCTAGAGGCCTCGGGATAAGTTTCCCCTGGTGGAAATAGAGAGCAAATAAAACAATTAGCGTTGCTGCTGTTCATGGTGTGTTTGAACAACAGATAATAAATATCAAGGCAAAAAAGACGCGCTATAAATGGAAAAATTATGAACAATTAGAAAATATAAAAATTATACAACCTGTTTGTCTGTTCAAGAAAGCTACTTCAGTTAGTCCCCTGATTTGTTTAGAAGAGCAAAACTATTCAAGTAGTCTCTGTGTTGCTGGTCAAACTACTTTTATTTATTTTTTTCTTTGTTTGGATCTATTTAAATAACTTGCTGTTAATTACATAAAATAAGTATTAGATTGGCAATCAAAGCCATATCTATACTGCATGCTCCCACAATTTTTTTTTCTTTTACAGATCTGACAGGTCTCTTGTGTTGGTGGAAACATGAGTTGGAGCTTCTTGACACGTTTGCTTGATGAAATCTCCAACCATTCTACTTTTGTGGGAAAGATCTGGCTCACTCTCCTCATTATCTTCCGAATCGTCCTGACAGTGGTGGGCGGTGAGACCATCTATCAGGATGAACAGAGCAAGTTTGTATGCAATACACAACAGCCTGGTTGTGAGAACGTGTGCTATGATGCTTTTGCCCCTTTATCGCATGTTAGATTTTGGGTTTTTCAAATTATTGTGATAACCACTCCATCCATTATGTATCTCGGCTTTGCCATGCACAAAATTGCTCGAATGGCCGATGATGAATATCGACCACGCAAACGCAAAATGCTGTCTATGGTTCATCGAGGTATGAGCCGTGACTATGACATGGTTGACGAGATGAGTGAAGAAGTTCCCATGATCCCAGAAGAGATTGAGCCCTCAGAGAAAAACAACAAATCAGCAGCTTCAACCAAGACTACCGCTGCTTCTGATGCTGCCGTGAAACATGATGGCCGACGCCGCATCAAGAGAGATGGTCTCATGAAGGTGTACGTGTTACAGTTGATCTCTCGTGTTGCCTTTGAGATAGCTTTCCTCTTTGGCCAATATATTCTTTATGGTTTTGAGGTCTCTCCGTCCTACATTTGCACCCGAAGCCCTTGCCCACACACTGTGGATTGCTTTGTCTCACGTCCCACTGAAAAAACCATCTTCCTGGTCATCATGTATGTTGTCAGTGTACTCTGTCTGGCACTGACTGTATTGGAAATCCTGCATCTGGGAATTGGTGGCTTGAGGGACTCTCTTCGTAGTCGAGCAAATCGGAGACTCCCTGTTCATAGGCCATCCACGTCCACCATCTGTCACCGCCTTCCCAGTGCTCCACCTGGATACCAGGCTGTCCTGAAAAAGTACTCCTCAGGCAAGCTGAAGGCTGAGTTTCTAGCAGACTCGGGACGGGATTCAATGGGTGGTGACAATACTACTCGTGATCTAGACCGTCTGCGGAGGCATCTGAAAATTGCACAGCAACACCTGGACCAGGCCTACCACACTGAGGAAGTAGGGGCTTCACACAACAGCGGGCCTGACTCTAAAAGCATCGCTGCTGAGCAAAACCGACTCAACCAAGCGCAGGAAGGCTTTGGCAGCACTGAGGAGAAAGGTTAGTTTTGAGATGCACTTTATTCCCTCACTTAAACCCAGTCGAGTAATTAGGGTTAGATATTTACTAGGAATGTGACGAGATCTCGAGCTACGAGATATCACGAGACTAACTTGCACTGAGATTTCTTTTTGTGGTGAAAAGTTGTCTCGTGAGTTGTGATGTTATGATGGAGCGTGAGGGTGAATTTAGCACTGAAGATTGGAGGCAGGATTTGCTTATAACCGCACAAACATCAAGTGCTTTGCAATTTTCTTTAATTTATTTATTTTTTTTCTTTACTGGAGTTCAAGGGTTGCCATGTCCAAAAGCTGTGGCTGCTACAACGGCAGCCACAGGCACTAACCATGGCTCATAACATACGATGGAATAGCACTTTAGATATGCTTAAAGCCATAATCGTCATAAACACTAATTGAATTGAGACACAAGGAGTATTCCTTTTCAGTCGCATTATTGAAGCACAGTACAGACATGCAAACGACGTAATCAAATTATTACCATTGGGTAGGACTCTTAGCTGCGTTTACAAGTTAATTAAAAAAAACACAGTTTTGCAATTTGCAATTTTTTTTGTTGTTGAATAAAATATTTTCCATTCATATATTTTATCATTGAAGATTTCTTAAAAATACTGTCAAATTCTCGTCTTGTTCTCATGAACCCAATCCCATGTCTTGTCACACCCCTAATATTTACACTAATTTGGCAATGAAATATAAATTGCAGTCACAAACTTTGCTCGCTACAATTTGAAAGCAAGATCACGGCATCTGTGAATTTAGGAGATTTTCATGACATCTTTTTTTTATTTTTTTATTTATTTTTTTAATTCCTGCAGATTTCACTTCAATAGATATTCTATTTAATTTCAGCTTTTGTGTCACCAGTGGCTCCTCCTGTTAATAAAAACTAAGACCCTTTTTTTTCACTAAAATGTCTAAAAATCACTAATGTCATTGAAACAGTGCATCACTAATGTAAGCATATATTTAGCCTATCATTTCGCATACCATCACTATCAGAGCCTTTAGTTTCAGACCAATAATAATTAAGTAAAGTTTATTTATAAACTAATTTTGAGAAGATCACGTGATTATGATTGAATTTTTCAGTTGTCACTGTACCTGAACACCATTCTCAAGATCTGCTTTCTATTTGTACAATGTCCCAACATTTTCAAAGGACAGTAGATGACATAGCATTGCATTTGATGCAATTAGATACTGGACGCCCTATAGCTTTAGCAAAGTAATGCCATTTTATGAGAATTGTCTTAAGATATGCACATTATGTTGTGAATCAAGTGCTTCTGCTCTAAATAAATATGTAGCCTATTATAGTTTACTGATGATTGGCAAAGCTAAAAACCCAAATGCAGTCCAAAATCTGCCTGTGCATGTAGTTGCTTTTGTTTGGTCTATAGCTAAAATCATTATGTGTGTGTTCTATTACTAAATTCCTGTGTATTGAATTTTGTGGCCTTGTTACTGCTTTAAATCTAGCTATATTTGGAATTAGTGGTAATAATAATACAAAGAATTGTCAGGATTAAGTTTGTGGCACTAATCTGGCTTTACAATAAATATTTAAATATAAACTTTTTAAAAATTTATTTATCGCAATAAATTTGTAAAAAAAAATTTGCTAATGTGCTGACTTAAAATATTTGCCAATTTTAAGATGAAAAGATCATTACAAACCATACAAACAATTATTGTGTATATTGCCATGTTATTGTTATTATGTGAGTTTTTTTTCATACTCATTCTTTTAATATTAGTTAAAAATGAATTAATGAATGATGTTTTCTGTTTCTTCCGTTTTTAAAGAGGCTCACGCTTGAAGCAAGTTTTCCATCTGGCTCTCCGTTAAACAAACCAATTCCAAGCGGAGACGCTAATGTTGGAGGGCACAAGATTTCAACTTCACTATACATTTTTTTACTATATATATATATATTTTTTGTCTCTTCATTAAGTGGAACAACTCAAGTCTGAGATACAAACGATGAAGAAAAGTTACTGGCAAGATCTTCACATGTTCTTCTAACTGCATACCTTGAATATATTTTTACAGTATTATAACTATACATACAGTATTTAGTGACAAGAGAAATACAAGATGTTACAACCAGCACTACTGTACCATTCTCTTCAAAGAGTTATATTCGCCATTGTGTTTTTTGTATAAAGACTCATTCCATTGATATTTTTCTTATTCCTAGATATTGTCTGTCTTATTATTTTTTTTTGTAAAGTGAAACTTCCTGCCACAATTGACAAGTCTTTCTTTTCCGATCATGGAACGATCTGTCCTGGTGTGAAAAAGTTGTCACTTTATAAATGTAGTCTAATTTAACTGTACGGTCTGTTGTTGTTAAAATGTGTGTCCTGTGTAAATATTGTTTGGAGAGGGAAGATGTTTTTTTTTTTTTTCCAAGGGATGAAATTTTGTATGTGGCTGTTATTGATTATGCAGATTGAGAACATTGTATTTATAAATTATAAATAAAACTTTTGCAATACTTGTTTACATGACCAGATTTTAAATATTCATAAAACATGGAATAATTGAATTGTTTTATTATAAACTATTTTAAAAAGGTAAACATAAAATCTATGAAAATAAATTGGACACACACACACTTACACACTTTTGTATTGTATACATCATTAGTGGGTAAAGAAAAAACTTAGTTTGACAGGTTTGTTAGAAATGATGTGCCCTCAGTTTTGTTTGAGAAACTGTCATCCTTCATTTGTAAACCACTACTGCATCTCCTTAATGAATTTAGTCATGTAAGTGGTGCTAGAAATCTGTTACTGTGTAATAATAAAGCCATTAAATCAAAATCCTCTATTCTGTCAGTGATGTAGCAGTGTTTATTTGCCATTAAAAATAAAATGTTGTTTTCTTTAAGCATTTTTTTTTTCATTCATTCATTTATTTTGCTATAATTTAATTATTAGTTTTTAAAAGAATCACAAGGTCTGTGAGTATGTTTTCTCAACAATGAAATGAAAATTTAACTGTTTTCATAAAGATCATTTGTAGAACTGACTAATAATTGCACTGTATTATGCATATAAGGCCAGTAGATGGAGGTGCAATTTTTAGTGTAAAAAAAAAAACAACTCTGCACATGCTCGATTATTTGAGGTCTGTTTTGGTTATTAGGTACTTGCAAATCCCGTACACTAAAAATGCTCTTTCAGTCAAAAGTTGGGTCCAATATTGAATCATTTTGAAACATTTGTATTATTATTTACCCAGCTGTTGGGTTCATCCACATTGGACCTAAAATTAAGTTTTTCTATCAGCATTTCTATCAGTGTAGTGAACATGTAATAGGCCTATGCCCATGATATTTTTGTAAAAAATAATTTTTAAAGTTTACGTGAAGATGGTAATGGTGACATTTTTCACTTCTTGCTGTTTCTATTGTATATCTTTATATTTAAAAAAAAATGAGCTTTGTAAATAACCTTATTTGCTTACAAAGGGTACATATTGTTCCTTGAAAATAGGCTACTTTATATAAAAGGTACATTTTAGTACCTCTTAAAAGAGTGCACCCTAGTAGTTTTTTTCTTCAGTGTTTTTGAAATTCATAATCGTATTTGAATGTAACATTTGTCATTTCATTCCACTTTATTTCCACACATGTGGCAATAAAGCTTGACTTGACTTGAAAAATGGCCTAGAGCAGGACACCAGCACCCCAGGACTGAGTTTGGGCTCCCCTGGCCTAGACTAAGAACATATGTTGTGTTTAGATAGTTTTGTCTCTGGTGTAGTTGTAATTTTTCTTTGCTCATTTAGCAACGTGAGGATAATTGTAAGAGTGGATTAAATCTCTATTTAATGTTGACAAACCAGTTTTCTAAACATTCATTTATTTAATGTTATAATGCTCTGAATAACATTTGATTATACGATACAAAGTATTATTTAAAGAGCTTACAAGACTAGGGTGTTTTTCCCAGATGGTCTTATTTGTCTAAAAAAATATTTAGAGAAAAATTTCTCAAAAAACATAAACTTTCAAACTTTTTCACTTCTTGCTGATTCCATTTTTTATTCTGATATTTAAAGAAAAGTTTTAGCTTTGTAAATAACCTTCTTTATATATGGGGTACATATTGTTGCTTGAAAATAAGCTACTTTAGATAAAAGGTACATTTTAGTATTTCTTAAAAGAATGAACCCTAGTATTTTTATTATCAGTGTTTTGTACCCTAGTTTTTTCTTGAGTGTTTTTGAAATTCATAAACATATTTGAATGTAACATTTGCCACTTAATTCCACTTTATTTCCGCACATGGCAATGTGGCAATAAAGCTTGACTTGACTTGAATAATGGCCTAGAGGAGGACACCAGCATCCCAGGACTGAGTTTGGGCAACCTTGGCCTAGACTAAGAACATATGTTGTGTTTGTAAAAGTGGATAAAATATCTATATAATGATGACAAACCTTTTTTGTAAACATTCATTTATTTATTGTTATAATTCTCTGATAAACATTTCATAATGTGATACAAAGTCTTATTTAAAGAGCTTACTAGACTAGAGTGTTTTTCTCAGATGGTCTTATTTGCATAAGGAAAGAAATTGAGAAAAAGTCCTCACCGTATAAAAATACAAATACAGATTTTTTTCGCTAAGTAAGACTAGCATTTAAAGGTGCTGTATGTAAGTTTTGACTTCTAAAACAAAAAAATATCATAATATGTTTGCAGATATTTAAGAAACATGCTAAGTGAATTAGAATTAATTATTCTTGTTTATCTGAAAAACAATGCTAAAGTAAGATATTCTCCTTTGAAAATATGCTTTCCGTGCCAGAAAGCTGTCTTTGTGTAAAAACATGCTACATGATGAGATTTGCAGTGATAAGCAATTTGGCTGTTGGCACCAGACGAAACACGACAGAAATTTAAAAACAGCGATTCAGAAGCACAGAATATGCACTTGCTCACAAAATAGTAAGGTTTATAATCCAATTAATACATATTAAACCTCTTTAACATCATATGTACATGCTGAATTATTGATATTTGTTTGATTGATATTTGTTTTGTAACGGCTTGCACTGAGTCACTGTTTTCAAACAATTTATTTTATTTTCAAGATCTGAGTTGAATCTATCTGCTGTAGTAAAGCAATAAATGTCAAGTAAACTGTCATTCAAACTCACATTATTAGCATTTAACACGGAATAAAGCCCATGAGGTGTACCTAAGGTGATCATGGTTCATCCTGTTGTTCACCTATGAGAAATAGAAGCTGCTTCTTAAATAAAAATTTGAGGTGTTGCTTAGGACAAAAACTTCTTCTAGTATGGAAAATATTTCTTCTGCTGTTGCTTTAAGTTAGTAAATGGTTCAAATCTGCCTTTAGGCTTGATATTCAGGCACACTCACGTCAATCTGGCAACCTGCCTTGCATGTGTTTTGATCCAGCAGCGCAATATATAGTACAACCACTGGGTGTCAAACTAACATACTGCACCTTTAAGTAACAAAATGTTTCTGTTTTTAAAGGTTAACATGCTAAAATATAAAGCCAACTTCAAGTACATTCAAGTACAGGTTTTCTGTCATTAGCCATCTTGAACCACACTTTATTTGCTTTGATCAATTAATATGGCTGACTTAAAAAAATTTCAAAACTAAGAAATATCTAAGCCACAACAGAGTGTAATTAGATGCAGTTGCACTCTTCTGGTATGATGTTAGGCAGGGTCTTATATTTGAATGAGTATCCCCCGTCTGAGGTGGTGGTGAAACTGAGTGACTTCATGCTCTCTGGAACAGGAGCGCAGCACTGGGTGATCCCAAAAATGGTGGTGATGCGTTCAGCGCTGGAGCAGTTGCCATGGCAGTAGTAGAAGGTGAATGATTTAGGATGAACAATCCAGTTGTTCCATCCAAGGTCTTCAAAAGAGATTTCTATCTGCTCTCTTCTGCAGTCAGTGCCCTGAGATGCAGGTCTTTTGAGATTTTCAATGGCATCTGGTGACCATGGAATTTTAGGCCTCTCCGGCATAGAACCAGAAGTGTGCAGAAGTGATGACAGATTCCTGGCTGTCCAAAGAGGGCTGAAAATAATACGTGAAGTGACCAGGTGCAGCATCAGAAGAGTGGTCATGTATATCCTTACATGTAGACTCTGAAATACATTAAGAAAGGTCAGAATCTGTGAAATGAAAAAATGATAAAATCATCATTCATTCATTTTCTTTTTGGCTTAGTCCCTAATCTGGGGTCGCCACAGTGGAATGAACCGCCAACGTATCCAGCATATATTTTACGCAGCGGATGCCCTTCCAGCTGCAACCCATCACTGTGGAAATACAATAATCATGTTGCTTTAAAAGAAGAAGAGTAAAAATTCATTCATTAATTTTCATTCGGCTTAGTCTCTTTATTAATCAGGGGTCGCCACAGCAGAATAAACAGCAAACTTATCCAGCACATGTTTTATGCAGCGGATGCCCTTCCAGCTGCAACCCATCACTGGGAACCTATACACTCTCATTCACACTCATACACTAAGGACAATTTAGCTAGCCCAAATAACCTGCACCGCATGTCTTTGGGGGAAACAGGCGCACCTGAAGGAAACCCACACAAACACGAAGAAAACATGCAAACTCCACAAAGAAATGTCAACTAACCCAGCCAAGGCTCAAACCAGCGACCTTCTCAGTGTAAGGCGTCAGCACTACCTACTTGGCCACTTCTACAAAAGATAGCAACTCTTGAAACAAAGTTACTTGCGATTCGACCAGAACTGCCGGATTCCACAGAACCGCTTTGTGGACCCTCACAGCACACAGCCGGTGAGTCCCATAAATCTATTTTAGCTACGGTTTTGACAACAGAGAGTCAGATCTGAGTTTCAATAGTCATGTCAAAGCAGTTAGTAAATCAGCATACTATCATCTCAAAAACATTGCAAGAATCAGATGCTTTGTTTCCAGTGAAGACTTAGAGAAACTTGTTCATGCTTTTATCAGCAGCAGGGTGGATTACTGTAATGGCCTCCTCTGGTCTTCCCAAAAAGACAATAAGACAGTTGCAGCTCATCCAGAACGCTGCAGCCAGGATTCTGACCAGAACCAGGAAATCAGAGCACATCACGCCTGTCCTCAGGTCTTTATACTGGCTCCCAGTTTCATTCAGAATAGATTTTAAATCTACTTGTCTATAAATCACTAAATGGCCTAGGACCTCAATACATTACAGATATGCTGACTGAATAAAAACCCAACAGATCACTCAGATCTTTAGGATCATATAAACTAGAAGTTCCAAAAGTTCAGTCAAAGCAGGTTGAATCAGCTTTCAGCAACTACGCCCCTCGCTGCTGGAATCAACTTCCAAAAATGATCAGATGTGCTCCAACATTAGACACATTCAAATCAAGAATGAAAACACATCTGTTTAGCTGTGCCTTTACTGAATGAGCACTGTGCTGCGTTCGACAGATCACACTATTATGTTTTTATTTTCTTTTTCGTTATCTTAAAACCTATTTTAACACATTTTTATCTGTTTTATCTATTTTTTATTCTTATTTTTATAATTCTTGTTATTTGTTTTTATTTTCTTACACTTGTCTCTTTTATTTCTGTTTATGTAAAGCACTTTGAATTGCCACTGTGTATGAAATGTGCTATATAAATAAACTTGCCTTGCCTTGCCTATTTACTAACCCTTCCACTTCCAAACCATCCAAAAACTTTCTAGTTTCTTTTATCTGTTGTACACAAAAGAAGATATTTTGAAGAATGTTAGAAACTAGTAACCACTGACTTCCAAAGTAGGAAGAACAAATACCATGGAAGTCATTTGTTACCAGTTTCTAACATTCTTTAAAATATCTTCTTTTGAGTTCAACAGAAAAGAAAAACTTTAAGACAAGTGAAAGGTGAGTAAATGATGACAGCATTTTCAATTTTGGGTGAACTATCCCTTTAGATGTTTGCTCAACTGAGCTGAAAACCCTGTCATGCTTTACTCAGTTTGTTTTAAACCCATAAGACCTCAGTTAAATTAAAAGAAATGACATTATTTTTTATGAAATTTTAGAGATTTCTGCCCCTTCAGTAAAAAATCTGCAGTATTCTCTCAAATCTGTTGCTTCAAAAGAAAATGAAACAACAAAAAGGTTGTAAATAGATTTTTTAAGGTATAAATAATAAAATTTGGAATCATGTAAACACAGTTTATGATCAATGTTTATTTGTAATGAAATCTAAATGAACTCTGTTGATCAGGTTAAGTATTTCATAATTTTTTTTTTGTTCTTCCTCTTTCGCAATTCGCTTTATATAAAGTGTCTGATAAATGAAAAAGTGCATGCATAGTCAAATGTTAATTCTAAATGTACTAAACTAAACTAAAATGACTTTTTCAACAATATAAACTGTTATAAAAATGTAACATGACAATAAGAAATGGCTACAAAATGTAAAAGTACAAATCATCTTTTGGAAGCTGTTTGGACAGAACTGTGTGTAGGTATATTGTGTCCACTGTCATATTGGAGTGATATAAACACAACAAGTCTCTTTTGTTCAAATTTTTAGATGTTAAAATAGGATCTAAATTACTGCCATTTTGAGGCCCACCTAAACATGATGTAGGAGTGTGTTATTCCCCACACACCGTATTGATTGACAGATGCGCATTAATATGTCCATAGTAATTTGTATAATCATATCCACAAGAGTGCACTTGCAAAGTAAATGGGATTAAAAGATCTGTTTCTACTCTCCATGATCAGCTTTTCCTCAGGAATAAGTTTAACAAGCTTAAAATGTTTTTAAAACAGTGCATGTTTGTAATAAAAAAAGCAAAATCGCTATTTATTTCATCACCACAGCCGCATAGTGTCAGTACAATTACAAAATAAGATGCTTCACTCCCAGTTTGTGTACGTTAAATCAGGTTTATTTTGTACATTAACATAACAGAAATCCGGGCACTGCAGTGGCGCAGTAGGTCTCACAGCAAGAAGGTGGCTGGTTCGAGCCTCAGCTGGGTCAGTTGGCATTTCTGTGTGGGGTTTGCATGTTCTCCCCGTGTTCGTGTTGGTTTCCTCCGGGAGCTCCGGTTTCTCCCACAGTCCAAAGACTTGGTGAATTGGGTAGGCTAAATTGTCTGTAGTGTATGAGTGTGTATGGATGTTTCCGAGAGATGAGTTGCACCTGGAAGGGCATCCGCTGCCTAAAACAAATGCTGGATAAGTTGGCAGTTCATTCCGCTGTGGCAACCCCAAATTAATAAAACTAATCCAAAAAGAAAATGAATGAATAACGGATATCCACACAGCAGTGGATATTAGCAAACACATCAAATAACCATTGGAAAAGTTCCGATGGTTCCATTGAAAGTTCTTACTGTAGTATTTCTCATAAATGAGACATCTACTTGCTTCGTGTCTGTGGCTCTGACAGGCAAAAGTACATTGAAATGTATTTTAAAATAAACTACAAAATACCTGTTTTGCATGTATGAAAATAAACTACAAAATACAGCAGCCACAAATGTTTCAAAATGAAATACAGTATTTTGTATTTTGAAAATACTTTTACAAGGGAGCATGTCATTTATTCGCAAACCTTCCATTAACAGGCCTATTTGATCAATCCTTTCACCATTAAACTGACTTACTCTTTCATTTTAGCATAAATTTAGTACAAATTTCATACAGAAAGTTCTGTCTTGAAGATAATCTGTCACTGTGAAAACCATGTAATGCAGATAATGAGTTGGAATAAAGTACTATATCTCTTCATTGTGTTTCCATCTATTGTGTGGCCAGTGAAACTGCAACAAACTTTGTCAAATCAAAATTTTTTTGTTCAATAAATGTAGATTTTTTTACAATTGAAATCTTCAATGCTTAATGTAAAAACATGATTTCTGAAAACTACATGTCATTTGTCAGTTATTTTCTTTGGGCCCTATCATAAAGCCGGCGCAATAAGGCTCAAGATGTGTTTGGTGCAATTTTTTACAATTCTCAGACCGATGCAAGCCTAATTTTCCCGTTTTGTGGCAGGTTGTTTAAATAGTAAATCTATTTCACCACTTTGTTGACTCATAGGTGTTCCAGTCTAGAAAGGATGTAAGTTAAGGTGCATTGTTTGCACGTTGCTATTGTGAGGAATTAAAGTAAACTGCGCAATTAACCAGCTAAATGCAGGTATAAAGTCCAGCGCAGAGCACGTTTGTTGTGTGCCTTAAAAGCAGCTTAATACACACAGGATGTACAGCAATACACAAATATCTGTACAAATGAAAAATAATTAAAATATTACAACAATTATTATTTTATCGATAAATATAAAAACTCTTCTTAGACTCTGCGCCTAGATCGTTAAAATTGAGGCCTTTGTGTGTTGCATAATTTCCATTTACACACCAAGCTTTGACCACCTTCTTAATCAATTTTCTGTTCAGATCTCAAGCCCAGCAAAATAACTGAGAAAGCATCAATCTAATGTAATGTTGTCTTGATCTTGATCATATTTTTAATTACATAAATTTAAGGGCATTTTGCTTGAGAATTCAAACTGACCACATCAATCTTTGATTAATGGCAAATGCCATGTGTTTGCTTTTGCTGTTTGTTGTGCCATTTCGCTGTTTTGAAATACAGGATACACGGAAAAAAGGTTCACGTCTTCAAGAGAAGAGCAGGGTTTCACGGAATTCCTCAGCACTTATTCTTATGTAAGGACAATTTGCATACGAGCAGTGCAAAACCATTCAACGGAAGCCTCTCAGCAAAGATTGACAAACCTTTTACCTGCAACAAGCCTGGACAGGAAGCCCGAAGATGATACTAATAAGATCAGGGCCTGGTGTATGGACTTTGGGGGGTTTACGATGTGGTCACATGTTGATTGGTCAGTTTGAATGTCTCAGTATTTGGGCTTTAGTCACATGGTCAAGAAAGATACAAAATAGGTGGTAAACTCTGCTCTATCTCTTTTCCTGGCCTGTCTTTTCTTGGTTTGCACACTCCTGCTCTCCTCCTCTCCTCCTCTAGAGTCTATCTTCTCTGCCTCTTTGAGGTCTACTTGCTCTCTTTGTCTCTTCCTCCCTTTGTCTTTCCTTCTACCTCTGGTAACTTTAATTTTACATTTAAGCTGGGTACAATTATTATCATATGTTTTGATCAGTTCATATATTATCATTTTTTACAGTTATTTGTAATTATTCAGTTGTAACCATAGCCAGTTATTCTCATTAATTCATTTCATTATCAACTTTTGTGAATTACAGTATTTTGTTAAGATTCATTCATTAATTTTCTTTTTGGCTTAGTCCCTTTATTAATCTGGGGTTGCCACATTGGAATGAACCGCCAACTTATCCAACATATGTTTTTACACAGCAGATGCCCTTCCAGCTGCAAACCATCACTGGGATTGTTGAGATTCAAATATTTGCAAATCTGAGAACTAAGAAGATATATCAAGGAAAACATCTTGTTCAAATTAAGCTCTTAGCCATGTATATTACTAATCAAAATAGGATTTGCTTAATTTATAAAAAGAAACACATGGAAGATTATTTTTACTTAATATTCTAAAGATTTTTTGGCATAAAAGAAGAGTCTAACCTTGACTCCTGCAATGCATTTATGTCTATTGCCAAAAGTAAAACTAAGCTTTTGTGGTTGGTCACAAATAAGCTTTAATAATTCAACGCTATTGTACTGTAGATTAATTTCCATTAAGAAGTGACCAACGAGTTATTTTTCCCAAAAAATAACAGAACAGAAACTTATTAATTGCTACATTGGTTAATCATCTAAAATGTATAAGGCAAAATTTATGGATATTTGGGATGAAAAGCTATTCTAATCAAAGTGTACAACTGAGACTGCGGGACAGATGAGCTCAAATTTCAGGTTTAAAGGCCTCGATAGGTGTGTGTGTAAAAGAGGTGAAGCTCTGGGTGTTCACATGTTGTGGAATCTGAACAGTCTATGGGTTAACGTGAAAGAGGGTGGAAGTTAATTGAGAGACAAGTGACTTATATGCTTGTGTCGGGGTTCAAACACAATCATTGTTCAACAGCTCAAGACAGGAGCTACTCACTTGTAAGACGAAGGTATGTACATGTTTGTGTTTCTGCTTAGTTTGTGTTTTAAGTTTGCTGGGACTGCACATTTACCGGGTCAAGTGACTTACAAATTCTGTCGATGTGACAAGTAAAACTTAAAAGATGGTTAAACTAACTGTTTGACATTGTGGTAATTTTGCATTGCATTTAAAAGTTTAATCATTATGAATCATAAATTGTAGACTATAATATTATTTTAAGCATAGTAGTAGGAGGAGGCAGTTTTTACACATTTTTTTTGTAAGGCACATGCATTGATTTATTTTGTTGATTTATTTTTATTGTCAGAAAACTAAATAGACACGTCAATACAAATCATACATTAGCTAACGTGCAAGTTTCTATATTTGGGGTGTTCAGATTTCACTCTTTCTCAGATTATTTTCATTTTATCTTGTGAGATCTAAATGTTTTTGATTCATGTAATCATTATTATGCAGGCTTGCCAATTCTAAGAGATTTTTTTTGTAGCCTATTCGCTGTAAATGTGCCACGTGCCATACAGAGAACTCTTCATAGTAAATCTGCTGTTCATATTTCGAATAGCTGTATTGTGCTAACACATACCTTTACCAGTCTGTGGCTTTTTTGAACAGAGGAGTCAAATAGTATCTGAGCACACCTACAGTTTTCTCTTGACCACAGACCTCAGTCTTGGTTCCTTGTGTCAGGCAATGACCTGCCGTCGTGCCGTGACTTGTCAGTATCTTTGAAGATCCAGCCCACATGTGAGGTTGCTGATGTTGAAAGGCAAACAGTTGAAGCTGCTTAGTACATTTCCATTGCATGCAATGTTAATTAATTGTCTTTTTTTTATTTAGTTATTTTCATGTTCAGATAACTGTCATAAGATAACTGTACAATACTAACAACTACATAATAATAATAATAATAATAATTTTATTAATAATAATAATAATAATAATAATAATAATAATAATAATAATAATAATAATAATGTAAAGTATAAATTCGTCTGTGACAGTATGAATTATCATCATGTAAAAACGTTGGCTTATTTCCAGCACAGAATTATTTTTTTTTATAATATATATGCATTAACCTGCATGTTACATAAATAACCCCCTAACTGCCACCTCCAGCTTTTGAACACGATGGTATGCAGATTTAAGCTTGGTCTCATTTTAAAGATGACAATTGTCAGATTGTAGCTGAAGTTCAAAATGTTAAATGCCTTTAAGTGTGTGAAAATAAAATATGTATATTTTATTATATTACATAAAATATGTATTTATAAAAAATGTTTTAGCCCAAAATTGACAAAGTTAATATCTGAAAAATGAAATTCCTAGTTTGAAGCTGATATCTCTAAAAATGGAAAGGTAAAGAGCTTTTAAAAATTTTTGCTTGGACACTGTACCAAACATCACAACCAGATGATATTCAGTTACAATATGTAACAATGCAAGGGCGCCCCCTATTTCTGTGTGTGTGTTGAGGAGTATGAACCCTATTTTTCACACTTTTGACAATATTTGCAAAGTAGACATAACATTCTAAAGCAATATAAGCAGTTTGGTAGTCTTTAATTTTAAATTCTAAAATAATCTCAAGCAGTTTTACATCTGGGTTGCCTTAGTAATACATTACAACAGTATTCTTGCCACAAATTAAAAAAAAATTCATCTTTAACAGTTATCAAAAATCACCATTTATGTAAAAAAATTTCATGTTTGTCATGATTGTTTTGTTAAAACTGCAATATTATGGTTTACTGGTCTCATGACCTTCCGAAATTTTATCTGCTGGCATTTCAGATTACATGTTTATAAAGTGAATACAAATATGCATATATATATATATATATATATATATATATATATATATATATATATATATATATATATATATATATATATCATATTGTCATATATATATATATATAGTTGAAGTCAGAATTATTAGCCCCCTTCAATTTTTTTTCTTCTTTTTTAAACATTTTCCAAATGATGTTTATCAGAGCAAGAAAATTTTCACAGTATGTCTGATAATATTTTTTCTTCTGGAGAAAGTCTTATTTGTTTTATTTCGACTAGAATAAAAGCTTTTGAATTTTAAGTTTTACATTTTTTAAACACCATTTTAGGGACAAAATTATTTGCCCCTTTAGGCTATATTTTTTCTTGATAATTTACAGAACAAACCATTGCTATACAATAGCTTGCCTCATTACCCTAACCTGCCTAGTTAACCTAATTAACCTAGTTAAGCCTTTAAATGTCACTTTAAGCTGTATAGAAGTGTCTTGAAAAATATCCAGTAAAATGTTATTTACTGTCATCATGGCAAAGACAAAATAAATCAGTTATTACAGATGAGTTATTAAAACTATTATGTTTAGAAATGTGTTGGGGAAAAAATAAACAAGCAGTCTAATAATTCAGGGGGGCTTATAATTCTGACTACAACTAAATATATGTATATATATATATATATATATATATATATATATATATATAGATATTTTTTGGATTTAATTTAATAAAAAAATTTTATAGGATCAGTGTAGATTCCCATGATCGTATGTCAAGCTATGCTCTATGCTCATGTTTTAAAGTAGATGCATGTTTTCATAATTTCAGGCATTTTTATGACACTGAATCTTAGGTTGAGGGTGATTTAATTTTAAGGGGGTTCACAGCTACAGCATGCTTTGTTGTTATAGCTCTATATATGATAAGTGTGTGCGTACATGTTTGTGTACTGTACTTTGAATTGTCTTTCGTTACCACATAAAAGCGAATCAATCAGTCATGTCAAATAAAAATATAAACTTTCAATAAATACAACACATCACATAAAGTGAATTATCAAGAAGAGTAAAATTATTCTAGAAGTCTCTGTGTTGCTGGTCATACAACTTTTTCATTTATTTTGCTTTGTTTGGATCTATTTAAATAACTTGCTGTTTATTGCATGGTCACATAAAATAAGTATTACAGCAATCAACGCAATGCCTGTACTGTATGCTCCCACAATCTCTTTTATTCTTTTCTTTTACAGATCTGACAGGTCTCTTGTGTTGGTGTAAACATGAGTTGGAGCTTCTTGACACGTTTGCTTGATGAAATCTCCAACCATTCTACTTTTGTGGGAAAGATCTGGCTCACTCTCCTCATTGTCTTCCGAATCGTCCTGACAGTGGTGGGCGGTGAGACCATCTATGATGATGAACAGAGCGAGTTTGTGTGCAATACACTACAGCCCGGTTGTAAGAACGTGTGCTATGATGCTTTTGCCCCTTTATCTCACGTTCGATTTTGGGTTTTTCAAATCATTATGATAACCACCCCATCCATTATGTATCTCGGCTTTGCCATGCACAAAATTGCTCAAATGGCCGAAAACGAATACCAACCACGCAAACGCAAAATGCTGTCTACGGTTCATCGAGGAATGAGCCGTGACTATGACATGGTAGACGAGATGAGTGAAGAAGTTCCCATGATCCCAGAAGAGATTAAGCCATTAGAGAAGGACAACAAATCAGCAGCTTCAACCAAGACTACCGCTGCTTCTGATGCTGCCGTGAAACATGATGGCCGACGCCGCATCAAGAGAGATGGTCTCATGAAGGTGTACGTGTTACAGTTGATCTCTCGTGTTGCCTTTGAGATAGCTTTCCTCTTTGGCCAATATATTCTTTATGGTTTTGAGGTCTCTCCGTCCTACATTTGCACCCGAAGCCCTTGCCCACACACTGTGGATTGCTTTGTCTCACGTCCCACTGAAAAAACCATCTTCCTGCTCATCATGTATGTTGTCAGTGCATTCTGTCTGGCACTGACTGTTTTGGAAATCCTGCATCTAGGAATTGGTGGCTTGAGGGACTCTTTTCGTAGTCGAGCGAATCGGAGACTCCCTGTTCATAGGCCATCTACGTCCACCATCTGTCACCCCCTTCCCAGTGCTCCACCTGGATATCAGGCTGTCCAGAAAAAGTACTCCTCAGGCAAGCTAAAGGCTGAGTTCCTGGCAGACTCGGGACGGGAGTCACTGGGTGGTGACAACACTACTCGTGATTTAGACCGTCTGCGGAGGCATCTGAAAATTGCAGAGCAACACCTGGACCAGGCCTACCACACTGAGGAAGTAGGGGCTTCACACAACAGCGGGCCTGACTCTAAAAGCATCGCTGCTGAGCAAAACCGACTCAACCAAGCGCAGGAAGGCTTTGGCAGCACTGAGGAAAAAGGTTAGTTTTGAGATGCACTTCATTCCCTCACTTAAACCCAGTCGAGTAATCAGGGTTAGATATTTACTAGGAATGTGACGAGATCTCGAGCTACGAGATATCGCAAAACTAAATCAAGATTTCTCATTGAGGTGAAAAGTTGTCTCGTGAGTTGTGATGTTATGATGGAGCGTGAGGGTGAATTTAGCACTGAAGATTGGAGGCAGGATTGGATTAGAACCACACAACAGATACTCTGATACTCGTTTGGGGTCGGTGAAGGTGACGTAACAGATTTATTATATATATGTTTTAATTAAAAAAATGTTTTTGGAGTTCAAGGGTTGCCGTGTCCAAAATCTGTGGCTGCTACAACTGCAGCCACAGGCATTAACCACGGCTCATAACATACGATGGAATAGCACTTTAGATATGCTTAAAGCCATAATCGTCATAAACACTAATTGAATTAAGACACAAGGAGTATTCCTTTTTCAGTCACATTACTGAAGCACAGCACAGACATGTAAACGACGTAATCAAACTATTACCGTTGGGTAGGACTTTTAGCTGCATTTTGCCATACACACTCAGCTGTTTGACCCTTCTCTGCACCCATCGAGTCAGTAAAGGACCACTGACACACATCTCCTCTGAGTGCATGCACATAAACAGTGAACTCCTGGAGACACATACACCTGTCATTGTCATTCTCATCATTACTGAACACGCATTGATGAAAAAGCAGAAGCTGTTGCTGAATGAAAGTAAAACTGTTGAAAATTTAACATTACATAATGTTTTTTAAGTTCAATTTATGGAAAGGAGCTTGATTCTCACGTGAAATTGTACAGGGAAAAAGACAGTCAGTAGAGTTTATAGCTAAATATTTAGCAGCATTTGCTTGTCCTTTATGGCACAATTCATTAAAATGAATGTAAAATAAAATTTTTTTGATTTAAAAAGCACCTGAATTGTTTTACATTTTGAGATTTTTTTTCAGTTGAATAAAAATCTATTTTTCATTCATAAATTTGCTAAATATTTAGTGGTGTTTGCATGTCCTTTCCAGCAAAGAAGTAATTAAATTAGAAGTAAAATAACATTCATTACAAGTTTTCTTAAAAAAGCACCTAAATTGCAAATTTGTTTGTTGAATAAAATATTTTCCATTTATATATTTTATAATGGCGACGCAGTGGTGCAGTAGGTAGTGCTATCACCTCACAGCAAAAAGGTTGCTGGGTCGCTGGTTCGGTCCTTGGCTCAGTTGGCATTTCTGTGTGGAGTTTGCATGTTCTACCCGCGTTTGCATGGGTTTCCTCCGGGTGCTCCGGTTTCCCCCACAGTCCAAAGACATGTAGTACAGGTAAATTGGGTAGGCTAAATTGTCCGTAGTGTTTGTGTGTTTGTGTGTGTGTGTGTGTGTGGATGTGGATGTGTGCGGCTGGAAGGGCATTCGCTGCGTAAAAATGTGTTGGATAAGTTGGCGGTTCATTCCGGTGTGGTGACCCCAGATTAATAAAGGGACTAAGCCAACAAGAAAATGAATGAATGAATATTTCATCATTGAAGATTTCTTAAAAATGCTGTCAAATTCTCATCTCGTATCTCGTCTCACACCCCTAATATTTACACTTATTTGCCAATGAAATATGAATTTCGGTCACACACTTTGCTCAGTACAATTTGAAAGCAAGATCAAGGCTTCTGTGAATTTAGGAGATTTTCATGAGGACATCTCTTTTTTTATTTTAATTTTTTTTAATTCCTGCAGATTTCACTTCAATAGATATTCTATTTAATTTCATCTTCTGTTTCACCAGCGGCTCCTCCTGTTTAAAAAATTGAGACACTTTTCTTCACTAAAATGTCACTTAAAATTACTCAAATGTAATTGAAACTAGTGCATCACTAATGTAAGCATATATTTAGCCTATCATTTCGCATACCATCACTATCAGAGCCTTTAGTTTCAGCCCAATAATAATTAAGTAAAGTTTTTTTATAAACTAATTTCGAGAGGATCACGTGATTATGATTGAACTCTGCTGGCCTCGCATTAACGCATGATTCACCAATCAGATGATTTCTAACTCACTATAAACATTCAGAGTTTCTTACTACAGTAATCTTTGACTTGAAAAATCCCCCTTCCATCCCTACTCCTCCAACTTTCCCTCTGTAGGGTGGCATGGTGGCCCAGTGGTTAGCACTGTTGCCTCACAGCAAGAATGTTACTGTTTCAAATACTTAACAAGCCAGCTGTCATTTCTAAGTGGAGTTTACATGTTCTTCCCGTGCTCACGTCAGTTTCCTTTTGTGTTCTCTGGTTTCCTCCCACAGTCCAAAAACATGTCATAAGTAAATTGATCAATCTAAATAAGCACTATAGTTGAGCTCTTAACCAGCAGTATATATCTCTACATAGCAATTATAATCTGTGATCAGTCCTTAACAAAGGGGGAAATTCTTGAGACCTACCTGAGCTCAAACTCCCCTCTCACCCTGCAAATGTGTCATGTTTACCAGCGAACAACCACCAGATGTCGCTGGTAAACACACACACACTTAGAACTACACTTTTCCTGGACTACAACTTCATACATGCTCCTCGCCCACACACCTGCTTTCTCATTTAGCTTGATTTACATTCACACCTGAGGACTTTCAGAGACTGATTAACACACACTATTTAAGCCACACATTCACTCCTTCAGTATGCCGAGTGTTTATCTGTAAGGTGACATTACAACGCGTTATCCTGGTCTTGTTTTCCCGTGTTTTGTTCTTAGCCCTGTTTATCCTTGTCATCCTGTTTAGCCGCCTGCCTTACGACCTATTGCCTGTTTACTGACTACGATTCTGGATTGTCTACATATATCTGTTTGCTCCCGTATTGACCACTGCTTGCCTGACTGTGAATAAAACCTGCATATTGGATCCTACCTTCTGTTGTTGGTGTCACTCCCCGGCGTTACAAAATGAGAGGGAGCCCCCGGCTCAAGGATTTTTTTGAGCTCAGGGCACTCTCCTGGAACAGCATGCCAAACACGCTTTATAATTAATCATCAGATAAGTGTGAACTCTTGAAGAAAGAAACTATGCAAGAACCATTGCCAGTTAACCCATAGGTTTCAAGAAATTACATTTGCAGTCAAATACTGATGGGAAATTTATAGAAATTTTATCATTGTGAAATTTTATGCTGGACTGTAATTTTGTCATCCAGACATTTCTGTGCTTCATGATTTCTTTCTCTTAAAATAAATGTCAGATCGTTTTTAATACATAGTTCAGCCCACTGATTGTGAAAACACCACTTGTCACTATGAAATGACACCTTGTTTGTTAATTTGCAGTTTATTTACATTGATAATGACGCAGTACATAATCCTGCATACATAAAGAATTGGAAAAAGGCAGTAGATCCTAGTGGATAAGCACCAATTTTCCAGTTGTCACTGTACCTGAACACCATTCTCAAGATCTGCTTTCTATTTGTACAATGTCCCAACATTTTCAAAGGACAGTAGATGACATAGCATTGCATTTGATGCAATTAGATACTGGACGCCCTATAGCTTTAGCAAAGTAATGCCATTTTATGAGAATTGTCTTAAGATATGCACATTATGTTGTGAATCAAGTGCTTCTGCTCTAAATAAATATGTAGCCTGTTATAGTTTACTAATGGGTAAAACTAAAAACCAAAATGTAGTCCAAAATCTGCCTGTGTGCACTGCTTATTGCATGCAGTTGCTTTTGTTTGGTCTCTAGCTAAAAACATTATGTGTGTGTTCTATTACTAAATTCTGATATATAATTTTTTTTCTGGCCTTGTTACTGCTTTAAATCTAGCTGTATTGGGAATTAGTAATCATAATAAAAGTATATACAAAGAATTCATTGTTTTAATATTAGTTAAAAATGAATTAATGAATGATGTTTTCTGTTTCTTCAGTTTTTAAAGAGGCTCACGCTTGAAGCAAGTTTTCCATCTGGCTCTCCGTTAAACAAACCAATTCCCAGCGAAGACGCTAATGTTGGAGGGCACAAGATTTCCACTTCACTATAAATTTTTTTTTACTATTTTTTTACTTTTTTTTGTCTCTTCATTAAATGGAACAACTCAAGTCTGAGATACAAACGATGAAGAGAAGTTACTGACAAGATCTTCTACATGTTCTTCTAACTGCATATCTTGACTATATTTTTACAGTATTACAACTATACATACAGTGTTTAGTGACAAGAGAAATACCAGATGTTACAACCCTCACTACTGTACCATTCTCTTTCAAGAGTTATATTCGCCATTGTGTTTTGTAAAAACAGCACAAGTACAAAGATTCATTCCATTGATGTTTGTCTTATTCCTAGATATTTTTTTGTCTTAGCTAATTGTTGTAAAGTTAAACTTTCTGCCAAAATTGACAAGTGTTTCTTATCCGATCATTGCAAAGAATGAAGAGATCAAAGATCTGTCCTGGTGTAAAAAAGTTGTCACTTTATAAATGTAGTCCAATTTAACTGTATGGTCTGTTATTTTTGAAACGTGTGTCCTGTGTAAATATTGTTTGAAAAGGGAAGATGTTTTTTTGTTTTTTCCAAGAGATGAAATTTTGTAAATTATAAACTTGAATTATAAATAAAATTTTTGCAGTACTTGTTTATTTGACCAGATTTTAAATATTCAGAGAACATGGAATGTTTGAATTGTTTTATTATGAACTATTTTAAAAAGGTAAACATAAAAACTATAAAAATAATTTGGACACACACACACACACATACACATACACACACACACGCACGCACGCACGCACGCACGCACACACACACACACACACACACAAACACACACACTTATACACTTTTGTATTGTCTACACCATAAGTGGGTAAAGTAAAACTTATTTTGACAAGTTTGTTTGAGAAACTGTCATCCTTCATTTGTAAACCACTACTGCATCTTCTTAATGAAATTAGTCATGTAAGTGGTGCTAGAAATCTGTTACTGTGTAATAATAAAGCCATTAAATCAAAGTTCTCTATTCTGTCAGTGATGTAGCAGTGTTTATTTGCCATTAAAAAATAAAATGTTATCTTTAAGCATTTTTTATGTATTCATTCATTTGTTTATTTTGCTATAATTTAATTATTAGTTTCACAAGAATCACAAGGTCTGTGTTTTCTCAACAACATGTAACATGTAACTGTTTTTATAAAGATCATCTGTAGAACTGACCAATAATTGAACTGTATTATGCATATAAGGCCAGTAGATGGAGGTGCAATTTTTGTATAAAAAAACAACAACTTTACACATGCTCGATTATTCAAAATACATGAACTTTCAAATGTTTTTCACTTATTGCTGATTCCATTTTTTATTTTGATATGTAAAGAAAAGTTTTAGCTTCGTGAATAACCTTATTTGCTTATAATGGGTACATATTGTTCCTTGAAAAAAGGCTAGTTTAGATAAAAGGTACATTTTAGTTTCTCTTAAAAGAGTGCACCCAAGTAGTTTTTTTCTTGTGTTTCTGAAATTCATAAACATATTTGAATGTAACATTTACTATTTCATTCCAATTTATTTCCACACATGGCAATGTGTCAATAAAGCTTGACGACTTAAATAATGGCCTAGAGCAGGACACCAACACCCCAGGACTGAGTTTGGGCACCCCTGGCCTAGACTAAGAACATATGTTGTGTTTAGATAGTTTTGTCTTTGGTGTAGTGCCAATTTTTCTTTGCTCAATTAGCAACACGAGGATAATTGTAAGAGTGGATAAAATATCTATGTAATGATGACAAACTTTTTTTTTTTTTTGTAAACATTCATTTATTAATTGATATAATTCTCTGATTAACATTTGATCATGTGATACAAAGTCTTATTTAAAGACTTTACAAGACTAGTGTGTTTTTCTCAGATGGTCTTATTTGCATAAGAAAATAAATTGAGCAAAAAAGTTCTCACCGTATAAAAATACAAATACAGATTTTTTTCGCTAAGTATGACTAGCATTTAAAGGTGCTGTATGTAAGTTTTTGACTTCTAAAACATAAAAATATCATAAATGTTTGCAGATATTTAAGAAACATGCTAAGTAACTATTCTTGTTTATCTGAAAAACAATGCTAAAGTAAGATATTCTCCTTTGAAAATATGCTTTCCATGCCAGAAAGCTCTTTGTTTTGTTTATTTCAACCCACCCAATGCCAGTTTAGCCTATTATGTTTCAGCACTCTGGGTTGCCTTGTTGGAAAACTGTGTATTTGATTCATTCAGTCATGAAGGCTCTCAAAGTATGCGTCTGTAACTGAAATGCGACCTCCTGTGGACAGTAGCAGACTCCGAAAATTAGACATGATGAGATTTGCAATGATAAACAATTTGGCTGTTGGCACCAGACGAAACACGACAGAAATTTAAAAACAGCGATTCAGAAGCACAGAATATGCACTTGCTCACAAAATAGTAAGGTTTATAATCCAATTAATACATATTAAACCTCTTTAACATCATATACACATGCTGAATTATTGATATTTGTTTAATTTTTGCACTGAGCCACATATTTAAAGTTCAATTTCAAACGATTTATTTTATTTTCAAGATTTTAGGTGACTCTATCTGCTGTAATAAAGCAACAAATGTCAAGTAAAATGTCATTCAAACTCACATTATTAGCATTTAATGCGGAAAAAAGCACATGAGGTGTACCTAAGGGGATCATAGTTCATCTTGTTGTTCAACTATGAGAAAAAGAAGCTGCTTCTTAAATAGAAATTATAGGTGTTGCTTAGGAGAACAACTCCTAGTATGAATAATATTTCTTCCGCTGTTGCTTTCAGTTAGTAAATGGTTCAAATTAGCCTTTAGGCTTGATATTCAGGCACACTCACGTCAATTTGGCAACCTGTCTTGCGTGTGTTTTGATCCAGGAGTGCAATACCTAGTACAACCACTGGGTTGTACTAGGTATTGCATACTGCACCTTTAAGTAACAAAATGTTTCTGTTTTTAAAGGTTAACATGCTAAAATATAAAGCGAACTTCATACAGGTTTTCTGTCATTAGCCATTTTAAACCACACTTTATTTGCTTTGATTAATTAATATGGCTGACTTAAAAATCTCACAACTAAGAAATATCTAAGCCACAGCAGAGTGTACTTAGGTGCAGTTGCACTCTTCTGGTATGATGTTAGGCAGGGTCTCATATTTGAATGAGTATCCCCCATCTGAGGTGGTGGTGAAACGGAGTGACTTCATGCTCTGGAACAGGAGCGCAGCACTGGGTGATCCCAAGAATGATGGTGACTGCTGGACTGCAGTTGACAAAGCAGTAGTAGAAGGTGAACAATTTAGGATGAACAAACCAGTTGTTCCACCCAAGGTCTACAAAAGAGATTTTCTCTTCTTCTGAAGTCAGTGCCCTGAGATGCAGGTCTTTTGAGATTTTCAATGGCATCTGGTGACAATGGGATTTTGGGTGATGTTTTCACTATGTTTGCTCCCTGTTTCAGACGTTCAGACGTCTTTGCCTACTGCTCTGCTCCGCTCTTTGCACTCTTGCTTTAATATTTTAATTTTAACTTGAGCCTATCAGCACAGTGCTCAAACAACACAGCTTGAAGATCAACATCAAATCTACAAGCCTTTTGGAATATAGCTTTACTAACAAAAGCGAATTATCGACCAAACAATCCTCCCGCTACCCAGCTGCTTACATTCCTGAGACGGGAAAACACGGCTGTGTAAATGCCTCTGGATCAGATTAATTCAGAATCTCACTGCTGCACAAACTGCCACAAACTTCTAAAAAAAATTGCAGTTTTTGATTCGACCAGAACTGCCGGATTCCACAGAACCACTTTGTGGACCTTCACAGCACACAGCCGGTAAGTCCCATAAATCTATTCCAGCTACGGTTTTGATAACAGAAAAACAAAATAAAACTGTTGAAAATGAGTGTGATAACAAATGGCAAAAACAAGGTGCGAGACCAAAAGGTACTCGTGGGGTCAAATCATACGCTGCCAGCATTAGTGTCCTCTACCCCAAATACAGCTCAGACTCCAATACAGCTTGCCCTCTGCTCAACTAAGACAGACTGTGACGCATCAGAACAGCATCAAGTCTCGTCACTCAACAATGATCCTCAGGAAAACAGCCATGAAAATATATTTCAGCAGACAGAATCTCCAAACCCACAGCCTCTGTCACCAGACACGTTCTCATTGTCACCTTGCTCGCCTCTCTTGGGTTTTTCAAAAAAGATGAAGGAACTAGTGTTTTCTAGAACTAAACTTTCACACTCCATTGCCGCAAGCCAAAACAACTCTATGGGTGTTAATTTCAACACTTTGAAAGTGTCTCATGAGTGTCCACTCCCAACAGAGTTAAATCAACACTTTCAAAAGTGTTGGCACATTGACACTGAAGTTAGGGTTAATTTGAACTCTGGGCAGAGTTAAAAATGTAACTATATTTAACACCGCCTGGTGTAAAATAAATTTTATGTTGGTGTTCGGTGTAATATTTTTACTACAATATATTGTTATTTTATTCAACTCTCTTGAGTGAAAATATGGCAAAAAGGTAAAATAGACTGTAAATTATATAAAAAACAACAACATTTTATTTAAAAACGTTCACAACTTCAACAATTCATTCAGTTTTTAAAATGCAACAATATGTCAAATATGCTTTATATTTTTTTACAAGTACAGACAGTATCAAGAAAATATGTTTGACCAGTGCTCGAAGGGCTGTTTTAGTCATTTGGTCCAAACTTGATGTTTCATCAGAGCAATTTAAAAGTTCAATTTAGCGTCACTCATAGGTTACTTCTGAACACATACTTTTCTTCTGAAATTACATTTTAAACAACTTGGCTTGCAAATCTTTCACTTCTGGTGTTTCCTTGGTCATCAATATTAAAGACAGCAGTCTAAATGAAGGTATAAATGCTGTAAACTTGTGTGAAAACAAACTGGACCTAGGGAATCTCATCATGCACGTTCTGTGAATGATGTGCTTCCCAGCCACAGGATGACCTTTTTATCCATGACTATGTAGTAGCTGCTGATGGCTCGTCTGGTGGTTCCTGTTGCACGGATACAGGGTGATGCTCATCTAAGAACTCTTCAAGAAAAATTATTGAAAACAAATTGCAATCAAATTCTTTGACATATTCAAAAGGACATTTAAAGTAAAAAAAAACATTAAATAAATCTAAACTCACCTTTTGAAAATCTACATGATGATCCACAACTTGACTCTCCCAGCTGGTTGAGGTGACAGGAAATGTAAAAGTAGAAGAAAAAAAACATATATCACTGTTGTAATCTCCAAAAACAATTAGATTAACCACTATGACTAGAAAAGAAAGAACAGGCAGCTGTCTGCCCAGAATCCTCAATTTAACACAACATTTGGAGCAAAATTTAGAGGAGCTTAAAATCTTTTATATTATTTAGTGATGCTGACTTCCTCAAAATATTGGCCACAGTGCAAAAATATCCACAAGCTAACAGTTTTCCGCATTTTGTGATTTCTGTTAAATTCCATAATGTGATCTTGATCTTTTCTTTAACAATTATTGACTTTGAACAATTACTTTTAATGACATTTTTAATAGTCTGAAGTGAAACTGTTTATTGTCTGGGTTGGTGGTGTACATTATGGCACAAAAGCTTTGTAATAAACTGCATGAACATTTTCTGTCTGTTTATGGGCTTAATTCCCTCTATATTATTTCTTACACAATATAATATTTAAAACTACACAAATGTCAAAAAAGTCAAATACAAATTTCAACATCAATTATTGACCAAGTCGAGATCAATGCTGAAATTTGTACACAATTAATAATAGTAAATAAACAAAAACAAAACATAAATTATGAAATACGGAAACTGTTAATTCACATATATTTTTTGCAACCAGTGCGCGCGTGTGTGTGTGTTTGTGTGTGTGCTTGTGCGTGTGCGTGTGTGTCTGTTTCTTTACCAGATTCAACTTGTTAGGCCCTTCCAGGTACAGTATTGATGCCACTTTTCCTGGAGACTAGCAGATGTTTCAGCTCCAAGTAGAATCCAAAATATTAGGATACGCAGAAGGGAAAAAGTGCAAAGCAAAGAACAGAACATTATTTAAGTAAAAGTTCACCCACGATACAAAACGTATCACCTTCATGTCATTTGTTATTCTCTAATGCTCGAATACCATTTCAGCTTATTGTGAAACAAATACAGAACTTTATCAAACATACCTTCATTATTATCACCACAAATGACCAAGAAGGTGTGCTTGGTCATTCCACCAACTCTGGAAGTACACCATCTCAATCAGTCTCTACTCAGCCAACATCACAGTCAGGGTCTTGTATTGTATGGAGAACTGTGGCTGTTAAAAAAACAACAACACATTAGTATCTAACACTTATGCATAACCTACAGATAAAAAAAGGGATTTTTGATTCAGGTGTTGATTTTTGATAGTAATTCTACAAATCAAAACTGTAAATAATGCAATAAATAATAAGTTTTATCAAAATGACAAGCAATTTCAGTGTTTAGTTGCATTTGTAAGCAACTATCTAAAGGCAACAAATGATCCATTAAAATATTAATGTATAAAAAAGAATTAAATAAACATTACATGGTGACATGCATCCATAAAATGCAATATTATCTGGAGATATTGCAAAGGCAGATGCAGGGGGCTTCCCTTGCTAGTTTTGGTACTAAAATACAGAAAGTGTCAATTTTATTTTATAGGTGAACAAATCCTTTTAATTTTTTAAAAAGGCAAAAAGTGGTCATTTGAACACACCTACGTGTATTTAGTTATTAAAATAATGTTAAAACTGTCAATATGAAATTGTATTCAAGTACTAAGCAACCACAAATGATCCGTGTGGGTGCTCTCTCCTCTCCCGACTGCTCCTCCCGTTTTCCTTAAGAAGGGTGTCTCTCCGGCTAAATCACTAGAATAAACAGGTGTTATTTATTATTTCTGATTGGCCTGCTGATAGCCGCCGGGCTCTGAGCATGCTCTCCCCCCTCATTGGGTGTTCGATCATGCTTACCTCTCCACATACCCCCACCGCCCGCCTCAGGTCGAGGAGCCGTCCGGCCTGCAGTCCCCCCCCCCCCCCTTCACCCTGGAGAGGAAGTCGGCTACAGCCATCTGCGCCCCCGGCCTGTGGATCACCTTGATTTTAAAAAGTTGGTATCCTTCATACGGTGGAGCCACTGGAGAGGAGCATGATCTGAACAGAGGACGAATACCCTGCCCAGGAGGTAATAGCGAAGAGTAAGAACGGCCCACCTTATCGCCAAACACTCCTTCTCTATGGTGCTGTACTTAGCTTCACTCTTACTGAGTTTGCGGCTAATGTACAGAACTGGCCGCTCCGCTCCTGCCACCTCCTGGGACACCGCCCCAGACCCGATCGGACGCATCCATCTGTAAAATAAAGGGGAGAGCAAAATCAGGAGCGTGCAATAGCGGCCCCCCACAAAGTATAGATTTTACCTTTGAGAAGGCCTGATGGCACTGACATGACCATTGGACGGTATCTAGTCCCTCCTTTTTAGTGAGATCGGTCAATGACAAGGGCCGAATAATTTGGGACAAAACGCCTATAATATCCTGCCAGCCCCAAAAACTGTCTCACCTCCTTTTTGGTCTTAGGTCTCGGACAGGTTGCAATAGCTGCAGTCTTATTAATTTGGGGTTGCACCTGCCCGTGACCTAAGAGGAAGCCCAGATACCTTACCTCCACTCGCCCAATTGCACACTTCCGTGGGTTGGCCGTGAGCCCGGCCCGTCTCAGCGCTGACAATACCGCTCTCAGATGTTGCATATGCCGTCGCTGCCAATCATTATTGTAAATGATGATGTCATCTAAATAAGCAGCGGCTGTGTGAAGGCCGAGTATTTTATCCATCAGGCACTGAAACGTTGCCGGTGCCACGAACAGCCCGAACGGAAGCGTCACAAATTGGTGTAATCCAAACGGCATAGTGAAGGCTGTTTTTTCGCGGGGTATTGGAGATAAGGGGGTCTGCCAATAGCCCTTCGTTAAATCCAATGTCGAATCATACCGAGCAGTACCTAACTGGTCGAGCAACTCTTCAATATGCGGCATTGGATAAGCGTCAAATTTCAACACAGCATTCACCTTGCAATAATCTACACAGAACCGGACCGAACCGTCCGTCTTAGGTACCAAGAAGATCGGGCTGGCCCAGTCGCTGTGAGATTCTTCTACTACTCCCAATTTCAACATATTACTCAATTCTTCCTGAATCACTTTTTTCTTGTGATCAGGTAGGCGATACGGCCAGGTCCTAATGACCACGCCCTGTTCGGTCTCAATATGGTGCTGGATCAGGTTAGTACGACCGGGCAGGGGCGAAAACTCGTCAGAGTACTCACGTTGGAGGTGTCGGATGTTGAGGAGCTGGCTCGCTGAGAGATGATCGCCCCCCGAGACCAGAGTACTCGGCCGTTCCCGGCCGGAGCTCTTGGGCCCCAAGTCATCCTCGTTAGTAACAAGCGTAGCCAGCGCCACGTCCTCCGGCTCCCTCCACTGCTTAAGCAGATTAACGTGACAAATCTGACGCAAGTCAGCCCTGTCCGAATGAACCACCTAGTAATCGAGATCACTGACTCGCCGTATGACCACAAACGGCCCTTGCCACTTGGTGAGTAATTTAGAGCTGGAAGTGGGTAGCAGTACAAGGACTTTGTCTCCCTGTGAAAATTCACAGAGTTTAGTGCCCTTATCTTATCGCCAGCATTGGTCATCCTGGGCCTTAAGCAAATTCTCTGTAGAGAGCCGCCCCAGTGTGTGGAGTTTTGCTCTAAGGTCCAGGATATATTGAATTTCGTTTTTACTATTAGAGGCTCGTCCTCCCAAGCCTCTCTAACAACATTCAAAACCCCTCTGGGCTGTCGGGTGTAGAGAAGCTCGAAGGGGGAAAACCCCATGGAGGCTTGGGGAACCTCCCACACAGCGAATAATAAGGGCTCCAACCACTTATCCCAATTTTTGCGTCCTCGTGAACGAATTTACATATCATTGATTAAAGTGTGCGATTAAATCTTTCCACCAGCCTGTCTGTTTGTGGGTGATAGACGCTGGTGCGAATAGATTTAACGCCCAATAATCCGTAAAGCTCGCGCATCGTGCGTGACATGAACGTCGTGCCTTGATCAGTGTGAATCTCCTTGGGGATTCCCACTCGGGAGATTTTACAAAACAGAGCCTCCGCAACACTCTTTGCTGAGATGTTACGAAGCGCTACTGCTTCCGGGTATCAGGTTGCATAATCCACCAGAACTAATGCAAACCGGTGCCCGCGGCTGGATCACTCTAATGGCCTGATGAGATCCATACCAATTCTCTCGAAGTGGATCTCCATAATTGATAATGGGCGCAAAGGCGCTTTTGGGGTGGCCGGTGGATTTACCAGCTGACATTTACGGCACGCAATGCACCATCTGCTGACATCACCGTGAAGGCCCGGCCAAAAGAATCGGGTCATGAGGCGATTTAGTGTGGCTGCCTGACCCAAATATGCGGCCATAGAATTAGAATGAGCCGCCTGAAAACGCATTTCCCGGCGGCTCTTTGGTACTTATAACTGGGTTGTATCTTCTTTTGTCTGAGTGTCTTGGGTCACTCGATACACCCTATCATTAATAACCGCAAAATACGAATAGGAGAGGGGTCGATCAGGCTGGAGAATTTTTCATCAATAACCTGCACTCTTTCGAGTGCATGTTTTAGCGTGTCATCACGCGACTGCTTCAGGGAAAAGTCTTTACACTGGGAAATTCCCAGCCCTTCCCCTGAGTCAGCGCGTGACGTCACCGCTTGGGATTTCCCCACCTGAGCGACACGCCCCCTATCCGGCGATTTCTTCTTCCAAAAAAACACCCACACATAAGACTCCAAATAATCTATTAAATCCAGGCCAATTAGTTCCCAGAATTAGCGGGTGTTTGAGGTGCGGCATAACTGCTACCTCTACGCTATGCTTTTTTCCCCGAAATTGAATATCTATTGCCGTTAGCGGTTAGTGAATTACATCCCCGTGCACACAACTCACCGTGCGGCTCATATCCGATGCCGGGTCTTGAAGCAGGCTTTGGTGGATGGAGGTTTGGTTACACCCCGAATTCACCAAAGCTTGATATGTACCCCCTTTTATACTCACAGGTATCCGGTATAGCCCGTCGCGACCGGGGTCGACAATTGGCGTGGTGGGAACGTGAATCAGCGCACTCACCTCCCTTATGGAGCAAACTTTTGGTGCACTATCCTCGTGCCCGTGGCGCCAATACCTCAGTCCAGACCTTCTCACTGTACCCCCGGGGCCAGCAGGATCAACCGGTTGAACATGAGAGAGACCTGTCGTTGTCTGGGGTACCACCAGGGGTTGTGGCTCCACCTCTCCGTCCAGATAAGGCCCCGCCCCTCTTGGGACGTTCGGCGGATCCGCCTCTGTGCACCGTCGTCTGGGTGCTAGTGTGGGCGGTCCCCGCAGTCTGGGCCTGGAAACAGGAGGAGAGAGAGAGAGAGGGGGAAGAGAGAGAGAGAGAGAGACTTTGACTTTGACACACACTTTATTAAAACATCTAAAACCAAAAATTACATTTCACCTCATACGAAGTCACACTGAAACATGTTCAGGAGACAAAAGAGGTGGAAAAACAAAAATCTAAATATATATACATAAATAAAATAAAAAATATATATAATAATAAGCTATACACAAAAATAAATATTTACACAAAAAATTAATCATTTATCACCAATTAAATATTATTTTCCCATCCTCACAAATTGACACTAAGGCCCCATTAACACACCATTTGAACTCAAACTCAAGCAAGTTATTTGTCATTTGAAAGAATCGATGTTCTGTTCTTATTCTGGATTCCACCAAAGCTAAGAAAAGTTGAAGAAGATTTACATTTCGCCCCTCAGCAGCTAGTCTACATGATTTCCAGATGGCTAAATTTGGGTTGAATTTAGAAGTGTGAGAATTAGTGGGCAATGCACAGTGTAATAATCTCCACTGCAAATCTCCAGATCGTCTAGGCAGAGGACCTTTATAAAAAAGCCTCCAAGAGGGAGGAAGTTCAGCAGGGATGGTTAAAAATCTTCTCCACTTTGTATCAGCTCTGTCTTTGATCTGCTCAAAATAGGCTATTTTAACACAAATCTGATAGAGATCTCTCTTTCCTGCCACCTGAAAGTCAATTTCTTGTAAGTTGTTAAATTTCAGAAGTTTTTCTTTCCAATCATCGTCAACACAGCACTTGGGAGACACAAATAACTTAGGAAAAGGTACTTTAGAAGGACCTCCAGACAAGAAACAGTTGACAAACAGAAGAAGTGTAGAGGGAAAAGCGGCTTTCACCCCACCAATGAGCTGCTTTACCATT